TTTTTGACAGAAAAAGGTACTTGTATTATATCATAACATAGGTAGGGCTAATGCCCGATAACATTGTCATTAGTACATATGCCGTCATAACCTAACATCATACCTTTCATCAACAAAAGCCCAAATTTTATTGGACACATTCACGAAGGCTTGATCAAATCCAATCCTTCTTTTATATCTTTCTAACTTCCTGGCTTGTTGCTTTGGCTCTAGTAATCCCACAAATCTAAAATGATGTTGTCTATGGATTTTTATAAAGATGAAGTATGGGATTTTCTTTTCGTTTTAAATATTTACATGGTACTATTAATAATTTATAAATGAACAACTGAGTAAATTATCGAGAAAAATACTTCTTTCGTGGTACCAAGCAATAGACTTTCTCAAAGATCAACTTTGTTTGGAAACTAGGAAGGGAGGGAGAAAGGGTAAAAGTGGAGGAGAAAGAGATAAAGGAAAAACGAATAATTTCGTTCCATTGTTTGGTTAGGTTAATTTTTTATTTATATTTTTCTCTCTCTGATCAATCAAATATTTATGTTTGAGTTGAAAATAAAATTTGCCTAACTTCTTTTGTTTATATTTTCTCTTCTTTAAAAACAAGAAGGTCATCTCCCATTCGCATTGGTGTAGAGCTGCAGGCTTTTGATATCGCATGGGTACTGTCACGATCGCGTAAAAGGCTTTAGTGCTCATTTTATGCTCCACGTAGTGTCTCGCGATCGTGAAGGGTATACTTAGGCAGACTATCTAAGAGCTAATTTCAGGATTTTTGCCCATTCTCTCATATTTTGAACCCTAGAATTAGAGATGGGCAATTTTTCAAGGAGATTTTCATAAAGATAAGAGGGTAAGTGATTTCTACTCATTTGTGACTATATTTCAAGAATCTACATAGATTTCTATTCACTAAAACAAGGAATTAAAACTTAGAAATATGGGGTTTTGGTAGAAATTAAGAGAGTGATTTTGGGCATTTTGATTATGAAATTGGACCTTGATCTAGAATCTCATCACATATTTAGAATGGGATTTGTACTTAGTTATACTATATTAGAAACTTATTTGCCTACGTTCTCTACGTTTTGCAATTTTTAAAAAGTATCTAGGTTTTTCTTACAACTTGTACATTGCTTCTTAAAAGGCTCTCACCCCATTATTAGTGCATTCAATTAAGGGATTCAATTACATCCTTTCTTTTTTTTCCCTTCTCCGCTTCTCTCCCCTTTTTAAAAAAAAAAAATCAAAATCCCTTAATCTACGTCCAGAATCTCCATCTTCTCTCTTCATTATTGCCTATAGCTTTATATTATTAAAAAATATTCAAAAACTGTATGATAACTGTATCATAATTGTAGTTGAATTGTATCAGATACATCAATGCGTAAAACATAAATGTATCATACTTGTATCACAATTGTATCTAACTTGTATCTGGTACATTAATACCCAAAATAATACCTGATACAATACTAATAAATTAATAAACAATTATCATATTTGTGATAAAAATTGTGGAATTCGTCACAAATTCACAACTGCTCGTAACAATATACAATGAATATACAATTATTATACATTTGTGATACAATTTCTGCAACAATTATATACATATATAATTATAATACAATCGCGACACATTTCTAAAAAATTGTGATACAATTATGATCTTATTTTCCTCAAGTTTCAATCACAACTCTACACTAAAAATTTAATATAATAGTATTATAATTGTATTAGTATTGTATCCACAAATTACCCCACAACTTGATTGTAGAGCAAGATTTCGGATTTCTTCTGTACTGAGATTTTGGATTATTTAAAGAGAGAAATCGGATATCAAAATCTTTGGAAGAAGAAAGAATCTGCAATGTAGGGGGATAACAGTGGATGATTGAAAGAGAGAAATCGAATATCAAAAGCTTTGGAAGAGGAGTGAGTAAGCGAAATTTTTGGGTTAGAAAGATTTTTGGCATTAGGTAAAGGAGAATTCTTACGGTGGGTAAGTACAAAATTGGAAGATGTTTTTATAATTCTTTTAGAAAAGGAAAGAATCTTATGTATGGGGATTATCTGTAACTCATATGTTATATTTAAGGTATGTTACATTTCCTCTTTTTTATGATTTTGTATAAAACTAGTAAATATAGGTATATAAAGTAATTAACAAGGAACTTAAATAAAGATAGTAAATATATTTCTATTATAGTATAGCTAGGTAAAAATTACATTTAGAATCATGGGGTTATGAGTAATCTATTTCTATGATCAATTTTGGATTCTAGGCCAAAGGCCCAGTGTATACATTTTGATTCTGGGGTAAAGAATAATTTATTTTGTTATGAAGTCATTTCCTAAAGCTTATTATTAACTCATTTATGTATTATTTGACTAGATTCGAGTCGTTGAGAGTTGGATTTAAAAGTAAAAGCAATTTTGGAAGGTTGACAGTTAGGGTTGTTCATGGTTCGGTTTGGATCGGTTTTTTCCTAAAAAGAAACCAAACCAAGTAAGTTGATTTTTCAAATATTAGAACCAAACCAAACCAATTAAGTCGGTTTTTTCTCGATTCGGTTTATGTCGATTTTTCGGTATTTTCAGTTATTTGTCGGGTTTTTTCTTAAATATAAGACATACACTATCAAACACATATTCCGGCGACCACATTTTCAACGTAACGCTATCAAATCAATTGCCCTTTGAGAAATCTATTATTTACCAAGATATGTTGATGATTATTTCAATCAAATAGCGATGAATAATTTAAGGACTCAATTAAAAATATATTATTTTTAACAAGAAATGGATTCTTACATTAACAAAAGAAAAATACCAATCAAACTATAATGTAATGGTAAAGAACTGTAGTAAAAGTGCAAATGATTAACATTTACCATAAAATTTTTGGGACTTTGTATAAAAATATACATATATATAGGTGTAATAATAAATTTTAAATAGCTACTCCTATAGTCGGTTTGGTTCGGTTTTTTTGGTTTTTTCTGATTAAAACCAAAACTAAACCAAATTTGATCGGTTTATTAAAATTCAAAACCAAAACCAAACCAAACCAAAAAGTATCGATTTTTTTGATCGGTTTGGTTTGGTTTTCGGTTTGGTTTGGTTTTCGGTTTGGTTTGATTTTTCGAATTTTTATGAACACCCCTATTGACAGTGTTACTAGATTAAGGTAAGTCTCCTGTCTATCCTTATAAGAGGAAATTCTCCCCATAGGTGATTTATTTCTACCTATTTCTTGATTTAGGAGCCATGTATATGCGAGGTGATAAGCGTGTATGTGTAGCTGGGTTGTGACCATAGCGGACAGAGTCAAGATTAAGATATGCCTTATTTGGACTCTCTATAATGATTATCCATGTTTCATTGATTCTATGACTACGTGATAAATTTTAATCATGATTAGAGACCATGCTAGGGTTATGACTTGTTGATTTGAATATGACGAACTTCATTCACCATGATGAGCGATTTCTAATTTTGTCATAGTTGCACAATTGCCTTATTTCATTAATAATTTATTGGTTATTGTCTTACTTTGCTCTTGTTGATACCACGATCCGACTTAAGAATATTAAATAAATATATTGAACTGTTATGAGAAGTTGATAACATGATTAACCATAGCCATCTCTTTTAATGTGAATATTCATCTGCATCTTATTATTACATCCCGGTGCATATGTATTATGTCACTCCATATGCATATGCATGAGTTGGAGAGTTGATATTGAGGAAGGTTGAGGACCTGGCACCAAGAACGTTATGAGCAGATATTGGTTACTGAATATCGATGGCATTGCGATTGGATCTGGTTGCACACTGCAACAACTCTTGGATATGGATCTATTTCTCCGGAGTTAGGTGATTACCCATGTTACTTTGAGCACTGTGAGCGCAGGCCAGATTGGTGCTTAATTGGATACTTGGTCAGTGTCAGGCATATATATTTGTGTTGTGAGGTATTGAGGATAGATCATGAGCATACATTTTCATCTAAGACTCATGCAGTAGCTTATATATATTGACAATTGATTCATATCATGATTTATGAAAGTAATTGAGATATTTGACATTGTAATGTATTTTCTTTGTCTGAAAAAGGATGTCTAATTTTTTTAATTTGTTGTGCCTTGACCTTTGAGCTTATTTGGTAATATGTTGCCTTATTTCCCCGATATATTTATGTTCATACTTGTTTGTTGAATTGTTAGTAAGTGTCTGTATCGATACTTCTTTGAGGTTGGATTTGATACTTATTGAGTATCGTAATTTTGTGCTCATACTATAGTCCTGCATATATCTCTTGTGCAGATTCTGAGGCAGGTAGCAGTCGCACCCATTCAACTACTTAGGAGCTTGCTTTCGAGACTTTGTCGTGAACTATAAGTTAGGTACCATCACGACCTTTAGTGGGAATTTGGGTCATGACAATCTATATCCACACGCTGCATGGTGGAAATCTTGTGCCATGATAATAATTGCATGAAATAAATCCCGTGCCACAATAATAACCTCACAGCATGAACTCATGCCACAACAATAGGCACCTGGCATAAACATCGTGCCATAATAATATAAAACCGCTCATGATATTCGAATGTGCCATAATCATATCAATCGTATGAAGATCCTCATCTTCGTGGATGTATGCATATGCTTAAGTAATAGCCAATAAGATGCACAAGGACATAATAAATAAAGATATATGTGTGTGTTCATAATATAAAGTATGATTACAGCTAAATCAAGTATATCAACAATTTCAAGAATAGCCCATCATGCTCAAATATATTCCCTATTTCGTTAGTTTAGTGACATATAATTGTGTTAGTGGTGTAATGATGCAACTTGCAAGATGAAGTAGGGGATTTTTTTTTTCATTTTAATTATTTACATGTTACTATCAATAATTTATAAATGAACAACTGAGTAAAATATGGAGAGAAATACTTCTTTCGTGGTACCAAGCAATAGACTTTCTCTAAGATCAGCTTTGTTTGGAAACTAGGAAGGGAGGGAGGGAGAGAGGGTAAAAGTGGTGGAGAAAGAGAAAAGGGAAAAACGAATAATTTCGTTTCTTTGTTTGGTTAGGTTAATTTGTCATTTATATTTTTCTCTCTCTATCAATCAAAATATTTATGTTTGAGTAGAAAACAAAATGTGTCCGTCTTCTTATATTAGATTTTCTCTTCTTTAAAAACAAGAATGTCCTTTCTTTTAGAAGGGTCGGCTTAGAGACAAGCAAAACCTCTGCCAAAATTTTAAGCATTGCATCTCCTTAAGTCCAGTAAGTTCAATCTCTCATGTGCATTTCCTGCCTAAGAGGCTTGCTTATTTAGAAAATATTGGAAAATGATTCGTAACCCAAAAGTTAAATGTTTTAGAGAGTGCACACCAACTGTTTGATAATTTGCTCCGACGTTGATGAAACACCTCACCATGGAAATGATGCTCACTTTCCCTGTAAAAATCCAACTCCAAAGCAACAAGTGCACTTTCCCTCTCCACTCAGATTTCTTACCCGGTAAAAGCAGAGACCATTATTTCTCTAAATCCAGCAAATTCCCCAAGAAAAATACCATTTCTGTTTCTACCTCTATTACTTGCTCTAATCCAGGGCCTCACAAACTAGTCCGAGATCGCAAGTTGGACAAACATGTCGTCAAGAACAACAATATTCGGTTCGTTCAGAAGCTTAAAACACTGCTACTTTCAAAACCAAAGCATTTCATGCCTATCAATGTTCTTTCAAAATGTAGGGGCTATTTAACCCTCTCAAAACCTCGGTCTATTCTTTCGATGATTCATCGTTATCCGACAATCTTTGAGCTCTTCACTATACCAACACCTCCTACTCCATACAACGCCACGAAACCACTTTCTCAGCTGTGTGTTCGCCTCACTCCAGCTGCTGCTGCCCTGTTTCGTAAAGAATTGGAACTGAAATCTGCCGTGTCAGTTCTTTTGGCTGCTAAGTTACAGAAGCTTCTAATGCTCACGACCCATCATAGACTATTACTGTCCAAGCTAGTTCATATTGCACCTGATCTTGGTTTGCCTGTTAATTTCCGTTCTCGCCTTTGCAATGAGTACCCTGATAAGTTTCGTGTTGTGGATACTTCTTATGGTCGTGCCCTTGAGCTTGTTTCTTGTGATCCAGCTCTAGCGAATGCTTTACCATCTCGTGCAGTTGACCATGTTTCACTAGGATTGATTGTAGATAGACCATTAAAGTTCAAGCATTTGAAACTTCGAAGGGGACTTAATTTGAAGAGGCGGCATGAGGAGTACCTTATAATGTTTAAAGAATTACCGGATGTGTGTCCGTATAAAACAAAAGTAAAAGATTTCTATAAAGAATCGATCAATGCAGAAAAGAGGGCTTGTGCAGTGGCGAGGGAAGTTTTGGGAATGATGGTTGAGAAGAGGACTTTGGTTGATCACTTGACACATTTTAGGAAGGAGTTTGGCTTGCCTAACAAATTAAGGGCTATGCTGATTAGGCACCCTGAGTTATTCTATGTGAGTGTGAAGGGGCAGAGAGACTCTGTCTTTCTAGTAGAAGGCTATAATGATAGAGGCAAACTATTGGAGAAGGATGAAATGCTGGTCATAAAAGATCAGCTGATGAAACTTGTTAGGGAGGGGAAGAGAATGAGAAGAGAAAGAAGGAAGGCTTTTGCCAAAGGTGACGTGAACGAGTATTGCAAGAATCGTCAAGATGATGATGAAGTTGAAGACGACAACTACTTTGAACAATTTGATGGTTTAGATGAATTGTTTGAATATGAAAATTCTGATTCAGAGAAAGGTATAGATGATGATGATGATGATGATGATGATGATGATGGAGATTTTGGTTCTAAGGATGGCTCTGACTATGATGAAAACATCGAATTATGGGCTATCCGAGATGAAACACAGTTCTGGACAACTGAGGCGCATACTTGTATGCAAAATGAGATCGCAGGAAGTTCAGGACCTTGGTAGACTGACTCCATTGAAGCACTTCCTATTCTACTGACTAGGACTTGTAGTTAATATATATGTAAAGATTGTACTTGTCGCTTCTTGTTTCTGAAGGTATTATTTTCTTTTCCAACGGTATTTATTTATTTATCAAGAACATAGTATTTAAAGTCCAAGGGCTATGTCTAAGGATTTTCTCCTTTGTGTTTGTGAGGAGTCCGAAACTTAAATGATAATTTTTTGTACAAAAAGTACTTTTTAATGTTTTAAAAAAAAAGGTACATTAATGGGTATTTCGCAGTTTTATACTGCGAATTGGCTTAACGGATTTTTTGCCGTTAAGGCATTTCGCAGTATAAAACTGCGAAATATTAAAAAAATGATTTTTTATGACATTTCGTAGTACAGTACTGCGAAATAGGCTGATTTTAGGCCCCACCAATAATTAACTGACATAACAATAATTCAAATACATAAAACGCAGTATAATAATGCGAATTACTTTGAAAAATTGTACACCCCAAGGTCGGACTTGCCTTATTTATAGGCGCTTCAATTTTATAAAAATTCATTCAAAACTTAAACTTCAAACATACGTTTATTCTCTCTTCTCCTTATCAATCAATTTTTTACAATGTCTGAAGTGCCAAAAATAAGGGTTTCACTGTATTGGGGGGTGAGATTGTGGTGGAGAATAAATCTGTAAGGTATAGCTCACCTCCACGGTGTCATGTTAAATTGCCGCTTAATATGGAGTACGATACATTGGTATCGTTGCTACGTAAAAAAATGAGTGAGCGGAGGCGTTCGGTTAGCCTTAAAGTAACCGGTAGATTTTCTTATTCAGTGACTCCGCAGGGGTTTGCTTATTATTCTGAGTTTAACATCGAGGATGATGAAACTCTTAGAGATTTTTTGCGGATTCCGGATGAATACAGGGAATTTATTGTAATAAAATTATTGGAAATGTACGTCAAGGTGGAAGACGTTCCTAGTAATGAGGGCGTGCATAGCAGGGATAACCCCCAGTCATCGGGTGGTTATTCTGGAGCAGCGTTTGCCGGACAGATTGGAGATGAAAGAGCTTGCCTTGATTTAAACTTGTCACCACAGGCGAATGAGCAGCCAGAAAATAATGTTTCCACTTTATATAATCAACAAGACGACTGGTAAACTTCAATTTTACTACGTTTTTTAGCGATTTTTTTTTCATATTTTAATTGGATTTGTATTAACACTCATATTTTTTATAGGGGTACCGTCCGGATTTAAATTTTACAAGTTATGACCTCGCCCCTAGTTGGAATCTGCGTAGGTCTGGAGTATTGGACCACGGTGGTCCATCTGGGAGTTATCACCAACCTGAAAATATCCATCATGAAACGTCAAGACAATACGATTTGTAAGTAAAGTGATATAGCGATATCTAAAGTATTTTTCCTGAGTATTGGGTAACTTAGGTTTTTGTTCGTTTTGTGCAGTGAAAACGAGCTTCTTGAAGCTCCTGGCCTCACACAGTTGCCCATAGACGACGTTTTTACTCGTGATTTGGCAGATGCGCAGAGTCAGGAGGATGATAGTGATTATGACAACAATGCGGATGAGTCTGGGGATGAGACACCCTTCCATGATGAGGGTGATGATGAGGAGGAGGAAGTGAATGTTGAACCTGAGCTGACTAGGGAGCATGTTCCTCCACCTCCCGCTAGACCAAGAGTGTATGAGTCCCACGTGCCATTTCATGAGCGAAATATTCCCTACCTTGATAATTTGCCAAGCATGCCTAACGTTGATGCCCTAACAAGGGATGATGATGAATTACGGTCAGTGATGTGGGATGAATCTAGACCAGCTGTTCTTACAAAGGGCATGTATTTCCCCGATAAAGCTCGCCTAGTTAGGGCTGTAAAAATCTACAGTATAAGGGAGTGTCGTGAGATGACGGTAAGTGAGTCAACTACGGAGAAATACAAGGCTGTATGCCGTAGGTGGTTTATGGGTTGTCACTGGATGCTGCGTGCCACAAAGAAGAAATCAGGTTTGTGGAAAGTGGGTAAATTTATTAGCGAGCACAGATGTGAAATGGACACATTCAATGAGAATCACTTCAACTTGGATGTGGACTTGATTTCCCTTGTCTTGATTCCATTTTTGGAAGTGTCCATTAGGTTCAAGATTAAAGAGTGTATTACAGCCGTCCACCAGGAGTATGGTTGTACTATAACCAAAAGAAAGGCATATCTCGGTCGCAAACGTGCCTTTGAACTTATTTATGGCGACTGGGATAAGTCTTTTTCAAATCTGCCCAGGTACATGGCTGCACTGCAACACTTTAACCCCGGGACTGTTGTTGAATGGAGGCGTGAGCGAAGTCCGGACAGACCGGAATATATATTCAACTATGTATTTTGGTCATTTAAACCAGCAATTGATGGTTTTGTGCATTGCCGTCCTGTAATTTCCATAGACGGTACTCATGTCTATGGAAAGTATGATATTAAGCTTTTGATTGCAGTTGCTGTAGATGCCAACGGACAAATATTTCCACTAGCTTTTGCCATTTGTGCCAACGAAAGTGAAGAGACGTGGACGCAGTTCTTGAACCACTTGAAGCAGCACGTTGTCAAACAGCGTTCAGGTATTTGTCTAATATCTGATCGGCATGGTGGTATTTTAAGTTCTGTACGTCACTTGCCTGAATGGCAGGAACCATATGCATACCACCGTTACTGTGTGAGGCACCTGAAGGCCAATTTCCAGAAGAAATTTCCTGACAAGGCGTTGCATGACTTAATGTGGATGGCTGCAACTGAGCACCAGCAGTGTAAATTCACGAGGCGCATGGAAGCGATCCGGCAGATAGAACCACGAGCCTATACTTGGTTGATGCAACATGACCCTCAAATGTGGACATTGCATGCTGATGGCAGCAGACGATGGGGAGCCCTCACTACAAACGTGTCGGAGTCATTCAACGGCTTGTTGAAGTCTGCCCGTGGACTGCCTATCACTGCCATGGTCCGCATGACTTTCAAACAGAGTGCAGAGAGGTTTGTTGAAAGGCATGCAGCTGCATCGTCATTGATGGACAGGGGTGTTGAACTTATGCCAATAGCCATGACAAGATTTGAAAGGTACAGGAGGCGGGCACAGTGGCATTCATTTCTTCAGTATGATCATGAACGGGGTGTTTTTGAAGTTAAGACCGCTATCAACGGACACCGTGGGAATAATCTACAGACGTGAATGAAAATAGAAGGTTATGTTCATGTGGGAAATGGACCATCTACCACATGCCGTGCCCACATGCATTGAAGTGCTTTCAACAAGTTGGATATGGGACAACAAACTACATTGATAGGCAATACAGTGTTGCAGCATACGTAGACCGTATAGTGGAAAGTTGCATCCATTAGGTGCTGAGCATTATTGGCCGCCGGAACCTTTTAAGTTGGTATGTAACAAGGACTATTTGCGCAAGCTGAAAGTGCAAAAGAGAACGCGTATACGGAACCAAATGGATGTTGGAGATAATAGTTATGTATGGAGATAATAGTTATGTATGGGTTCCAGGCTTGATTTTTAACGCCCGGTGCCACCGAATAATTCTTAATTATTATAAGTCCCAATTTCAACATTTTTAGATTTTTATTAACTTAATAAATTAAATTAAGTATGATTTTTGAAATTGGAGATAATAGTTATCTATGGGTTCCAGGCTTGATTTTTGACGCCCGGTACCACCGAATAATTCTTAATTATTATAAGTCTCAATTTCTACGCTAAAAGGTTCTACATTTTACTACGCTAAAAGGCTCTACATTTTACTTCGCTAAAAGGCTCTATATTTTACTTCGCTAAAAGACACTATATTTTACTACGCTATAAGGCTATACAATATGAACATAACATCAACAATACAAATAAACAAAATAAATAATATTATTTAACACAAACAATCAAGTAGCATTTTTGGTCACAAACATAACATAAATTCGGATATCAAATAAATCAAACCGGGTATATAAAAGAAACAAAATTAAACACTAACATAATAAAAATTCACATGGAAACATACTAAACAATACAAATGCATGACTATATGAGTTTCGGCATAAACTAAATTGAAATACCTCGATGTAAATATAATTGAAATCGAATTTTTGCACCCGAAACACGCAATCCAAAACTTCTTTTGTGTGTGGGACCTACACTTCTTGCTCTTTATGGGACGGATGGGGCTGAAATTTTTTTTTTTTTAAATTGTAGCCGGGGTGGGGGACCAGAAAGTTTGAGTTATATTTTTTAATGGAGATCGTTTTCTGTTGGAAGAAGACGACCCGTTTTTATATTAGGGCAATTCGTAGTTCAGTACGACGAATTGTAATTCGCAATACTGTACTACGAAATATCATTAAAAAATTTTTTTTTTTTAAAACTGCGAAATGCCTTAACGGCAAAAAATCCGTTAAGCCAATTCGCAGTATAAAACTGCGAAATACCCATTAATGTACCTTTTTTTAAAAAA